GTCCCGCAGCCTCTGGGCGTCGTGGGAGTTCGCATCCCCGCGTCTCCTCGGAGTCGGGTCTGGCCCCCCCTCCCTCTCCAATTTCTCCGTGGACAAGTCAGAAACCTCTGCGGGGGGGTCACAGCCCCGCAAACTGGCACCTCTTGCAAAGGAGCGCAAAAAAAGGTGCTCGAGGTGGCCAGAGCCCGGCTCTTGTCGATAAGAGCAGCCCATTTTGGGCGGAGCCGGCGCCCCCAATCGACAAGAGCAGCACATTTTGGGCGGGGGCCGATCGGCCCTCTCACAGAATTGAATAGACACAACATCCCTGTTGTATTCACTAGAGTATTGGCGGAAGGCATCTTCGTTACTAATGCGTTTACGTTTTATAACGGAGTATCGCCATATCAGGCACACACAGGACGTCAGCCCTCCTTCCTTCCTGATCTGGATACCCTTGACTTTCCCAAGGGACCCGAGACTTCAGGACACGAACGAGAACGTCGTGTAAGGGAAGTCAGCCTCGAAGCCATATTTCAGGCTACTGCTGTAGCCAAGACAAATCGGGCTCTTAGGGCTACGACGACTCCTGATGGTGCTCGCCTCTACTCATCAGGGGATTTGGTCGACTACCACCGACCTACTGCCACCAAGGGCGACCATGGAGGCTGGAACGGCCCATTCCCGGTGATCCGAAACGTGCCTGAAAGAGGACATATTGTTGTCAAGGCAGGATCTCGTGAGGTAATTGTGATGTATCCTGATGCTCGTCACACACTATACATCGAATGTCTCCTCACACGGGAACTTGGCATGGATAATATGGCCATGCAAACCGTCCTTGCTTATGTGGCACACCTCAGCGCAGGGAAACCTGCCAAAGTTTTCGGGTATATCCCCGATTACAAGGGAAACTTTAATCTGTCAGACGACAGCAAGTTTCACCCGCGCGTACACTTAGCACTACAGTATCTCGTACGGAATTACTTCCGAGTAGAACATGTAGTAGCAGTTCGATTGGCTAAGAGTGTGTCAAGCTTACCTGCAGTAAAGTACGCCACCGGGTCTACGCTGATCCACTATGACAACGACATCAGCCCGGCGTTCCACTATTACGAATGCGTGGGCACTGGCTTAAACATTTCTCAGATCACTGGTAGCACTCACTCCAGACTTATTCAATGCTTGACTTCACGTGTCCCTTCCTTAGGATTCCACGACGATTTGGCTAAATATCAGCATCCAAGCAACACGTCTGGAGAACACGAGTCGCCTGGAAACAGGCCTTCTCCAGACACACCAGACGCTTCATCGCCGAGCGAAGGCCGTCTGTCGACAATCTACGAGGAAAATGAGGAACACAATATTGAAGCTATGATGCTGGAAGAGTGGTACGACGAGCTACGTATGGACCTGCATCCTACGACGATTACCGATGATTATCTTTATTGCGTCCCAACAACTATGCTGCCCGACCAGTGTGTTTTGGTTTCAGCATTTGTGGACGAAGATGATATTATATCATCAGATATGCTCGGAGACGAGCCGAAATCATGTGAGTCCTGTCTAGTCTCTCTTTGTTCAAACACAGCCGACGAGAGCTACTCTCTAGACAGTGATGAATACGGTCCTTACGTTGAACTATGCTTTACATCAGAAATGTCTAAAATAGTGTTGGATCAGACTCAACTTGCACAGCTCGATACCGATATGGTCGCAACGATGAGAGTATATGTATCCTCTGCTGCTAAACGTGCTGTGGTTGTCAAAGAAGATGATCTACTAACCAAAGCCGACATAGCAGCACATCCAAAGGAGGTTAGTGAAGCCTTATATACTGAGCTCAAAATCTGGATTGATAATCGATGCTTTGAGATGTACGATTTATCCAAAGCTTCCAACATCATGACATCCAGATATGTATACAAGTGGAAGTTCGTAAAGATGGGTACCGAGAACGTTAAAACCATTCGTCTCAGACTGGTCCTTCGTGGATTTATGGATACTGAGGCTTTTGATGTGGAAACATTCTCGGGAACCGCCCGAAGGCAGTCCCAACGACTCCTGGCAAGTGAAGCGGCATGCCATCCAGAGTGGATCTTAGCATCCATGGATATCGATAAGGCGTTCCTCAAGGGTTTGACCTATGAGGAACTTGCCCATGCCACCGGCGAGGAAACTCGCATGGTTTGCTTTACTCTTCCACCAGGAAGCGCTCAGGTACTTCGTACATTACCCGGCTTCTCATCCTACGACGAAAGTCGACACTGTCTTAGATGCCTCAAACCAGGAACGGGTACTAAGGACGCTCCAAGAGCGTTCTCTCTCAAACTTCGTACGACCACACGAGCTATAGGACTTACACCGACCAGCTACGATCCTGAATTTGAATTCAGCCAAGACCTTCTGACGGCAAAACATGTCGATGATATTAATATGACAGGTCTAGAGAAAAATATAGACGACTATGTACAACGTGTCGAAAAGGTGTTTGGCAAATGCAAGCTCAACAAGCACACATATACGAACTGCGCCGTTCGCTACACTAAGAATGATCAGGGAGATGTGATCATGGACCAGGACGAGTACATTAAACAACTACGTCCTATCACACACCCAGAACTTACAGGAGCGGCGGCCGACGCCAAAGCCACGAAACTCATTACCGACATGTTCGTCAGCCTGCGAGGAGCCCTCGCCTATGCCCTTCTTACCCAAATCTGGCTCATGGTATATGTGGTCTCTCTTCAGAAAATTCAAGAGCCCACCAATTTGCAAGTCAGACGTTTGAATGCTGTGACGCGAAAGCTGATCAGCAGCCCGAAACGCATCACCTTCCCTCGGATGAAGCCGACGAATGAAGTTGACATCAGTAGCGATTCGGGGTATCGGAAGCTTACCGGGGAGGAGGATGACGAGACCAAGGGCTACGGCATACGCGGGGCCAACGTACTACGGCGAGGAAACTCGCCTCAAGGCAAGTCCGTCGTTCACCTCTGTGACGGACTATGCAAATCACACCGATTACAGGTGAGGTCCAGTTATGCTGCGGAGGCACTTGCAGCCGCACATAACCTTGATGAGTGTTACCCTACGCTCATTACTCTCCACGAGCTTAAGGCAGGGGCTTTGACTCCACGACAACTACGAGACATGCGTGAAGTTGGAGGCCTTGCTATCAAAGTCTCTCTTACCATAGACGCTGAGTCCGTCTACAAATCTTTATCAAGCAGGGATCTCAAAATACCTACATGACGGACTCTGCTTGGACATGTCAGCTGGATACGTGAGCTCATGGATATAGGTATAGTACATAATGTGCAATTGTGTGATACTAGGGATATGACCGCAGATGGGCATGCAAAGGGAAGCATCGATCGGGAGCTGCTTCTGGAAGTGATGTCAGGCACTCAGTCATTTAAGTATGACGTGAAGCAATTTGTTCCCTTTCGGGGTCCCGAGGACAGAGACAAACCTAAGTCTAATCAATTTTAGTTTGTCCTTGTTGCCCTCGCGGTCCAGTTTGCCAGCACGGGCGCCTACTATAAAGGCGCTCCTTTAGATGCTCGGAAACGAGCCTTATATTTCACGCCTGGCAACGAGCCGGCTTTGTACAACTCAGGCTCTTTGCCTTAATGCACATTTGTTTGGTGAGGTATGGCCTAATTTTGGTTTACTTCTAACTAAGCCGATAGCCCTTCATTGTTTGAAGGGGCTGTCCTGTATTTGCGTGAACTACTTTGCGAGGAAAATCGCCTTACGGTCTGGTGTTTGACCAGACTGTGCGCACTGTTTTCTTTTCTTTGCAAACAGTCGTGCGCGCGATCTTTGCGTGCGACTATGCTCTCCGTCTCCTCCCCTCCCGACTTTAAGGGTAGCTCTTTGGGAGATGTTACAGTATCGGGAGCATAGCTCGCGCGCCGCTGCCTTGGGCTCAAGGCACGCGCGCCCTATTTGCCCGGACACCGCGAGTGTTCGCTATGTGCTGGAAAGATCATTACATCGATCTTATCCTATCTTACCCATCCACCCCTCATACTGTACCTTCACAGCAGAGCGATGGATGCAATTTGCCAGGCTATATGCCCTATTTGAGTTACCAGGCTCACTTTCGACTCTCCAAACATCGCCTCTTGGGGCGCTCTTGGGGCGCTCTTGGGCGCTCTTGGGGCCGTCTTGGGGCTCTCTTGGGCCTCTTGTGGGGCCCTCTTGGGCCATCTTGGAGCCATCTTGAGGCCTTGGATGGCCATCGGAAGCGAAACGGGGAGAAAGCAACACACATTGATTTTCTTAAGGTTTGGGGACGATTTTGGCCTCTTCGGGCCTCCTTGGGGAACTCTTTGGCCACAAGGAGCCGTCTTGGGGCCGTCTTTGGGCCTCTTGGAACCATCTTAGGAGCCATCTCGAGCGATTCTGCGCTATCTTGAGCCATCTTGGGGATCATCTGGGGCTCTCTGACGCGCGCTTGAAGCCATCTTGGGGCCAAAAGAGCCGTCCGACCGCTCGCGAAACCCTCCGTCCAGGTCCAGGGGAGGGGGTAGGGGGAGGGGTAAACCCCTCCCCAAGGGGGAAGAGGGAGGGGTGGAAGAGGATCTGTTCTAGCCCACCTACGCCCAGAGGGTTGGTGGGATTCTGAGACTCTTCCCGGGAGGTGCTAACCAGGGCGGTTTTCGGCTCCCCCCCTCGCGCGCATCAGCATGGCATGGAGGTAGTGTGTAGTAGTTCTGGAAATTGGAACTGGGTTCGGACATGGGATGCCCTGTTCGGGCGTGGAAGTGATTAACGGAAATTCGATGTCTGAGGGATCAGGCGTCATGCGGCATGTGCGTTGTTTCTTCGAGATGGTCAATACCTAGAATAGGTGTTTCTCAAATGTGTATTTAGCAGCATGTTGTAATACATCTCATGAGATGTGTGGAGCCGAGCGTGATTGTTTCGCTGTCGGCCTTCCAATTATATCATTGTCTTTAAGGCATCGCCATCACCGAATTTGCAATACTGATGCACGGGTGATTGGGCAGGACATCATGCGCGGGCGTATGATGTTGCTCGCTGCCCTCAAGGAGATGGAGAGCAGGAGGGCCTCGCGGGAAACGCCACCTGCATCTTTCAAATTGGAAGTCGGAGGATGAGGCACTGGAAAAGTCGGTCCTCTCGCTGTGTCGCGCTATACATGTCTCTGCATGTGGCTCTGGCCCTGTTTTTGGTTGATGGCGCTGCCCCGTCTCTGCTCTGTCCGTGTCTCGGTCTACGTCTTGGTCTACGCCTCGGCTTCGGCCCTCGTCCCCGCCCTCCGCCATGGCACCTGCAGTCTGCAACACTGCTACTGCCTCTGCCCGTGCCCCTGCCCCCCGCTCGTCCGATCGTCTGCCGCTCTGCCTGCCGTGCTGCCCGCCCGTGCTCTTCCTCGTGCCCTGCCCGTGCTCCAGCGAGCCATGCGCACGACTGCCCGCCCTGCGGGCCGCCCTGCGGGCCGCCCTGGCTCAGAAGAGAAAACGGTTTCGATACCGCTACCCCTCCTCGTGGCCACGGTTGGATTCGCCTCGAAAGTTTGGCTAGAACGCACCCCAGCAGAGGCCCGTGGTGTAGCGGTACTTGTGGGTATACCTTTATTTCCCCATTGGTTGTGCACCCTCGAGATCTTGGCGTCGCAACCTTTTCAAACCAGGCAGTTGCGCCGGGTCTGGGCCCCCAAGGCTCCACATATCGGTCCGGCTCGAGGCATGCTGAGGAAGGTCGAGGTCTAATTCGGCCCTGGCCGTGCTTTCCCTTATTCTTGCTGTCGCTTTTCCGCGCCGCCGCATCTCAGGGGAGGTCCACATCTTGCGGAGCGCAGTCCCGTGCGCTCGGAGCTCCCCCAGCCCCGCCCCGTCCAGCCCGTGCCCTCTCGGCCCGCCCGCCCGTGCCTCTCGGACCCCCCAGCCTGGGGCCCGTCCGCCTCCGCCCCCGTGCCTCCCGGCCTGCCAGATCCACACCTCCAACCCATGTCAGAATCTGTCCCCAGTCAGTTCGTCCACACTGGGCGGTTTCGTTTCGCCAGTTTCGGGCCCCAGGACCAGCACAGATCGTTCCTGCTCGAAAAATGCGGCAAAAAGGTCGGGTCTAGGGCTGTGGGCGTGAGTTTCCACGATGTTGCAATTTGTTCATAACGTCGAATCTCGGGGTACGGAGGTTTTTCCTCGTTCATCGGCCAGTGGGCGGGGGCCACTTGCCGGCCCATGGGGCGGTCAAGAAAACTACTCCAGAGGAAGAGCCATCCCTGGTGAAAAGGTCGGGACTTCCAGGGACACCATGTTGAAACAATCAAGACATCGGAGAACCTTGAGCCCATCTTAGCGTCATTTTTCTCACAGTTGGCATTCTCGACCAGCTTCGGGCCTTTGGGGCCCTGACGACCGATCTTGCTCGAGAAGTGGCGCGGAAAGTAGGTTTGGGGCTTCAGTTGTGATTTTCACGTTGCAATATTTGTGCACCGTCGGATCTCAGGGAACGGAGGTTTTTCCCCGTTCAGCGGCATGCGGGGGCCTTCGCGGGGCCATGACACAGTCAAAAGACGGGTCAATTTTGTGCGTCGTCGGATCTCATGGAAAGCGTACGTGACCCAAGGTTTCTTCCGGGTTTCTCAGGATGCCCAGATGGCCTCCATATCACCCCTTCAGGGGGCACAGAGGGCCCCAGGGGGTTCAGAATGGCGCGAAGAGCTGGGGACATTTTGGGGCAGAGATACATTTCGCAACCCCCGACTGTCTCGGCCAGCTTGCCGATCATTGGTTTCTCGGATCCGTCGGATGGACAACAGGAGGAGATGGAGGTATTTCGCCGCTTTCAGCGGGGGCCCTCGCTGGGCCACGGCACCGTCACGAAACGACTCGGGGTGGACAGCGGGCCTTGGGGGAACGGTCGGGATTCCGGAATCGCGTCTTCAAGAGAGCAAGGGATTTGGTCATTTCTGAGCTTGTCTATTCATGTCGCCCCCCGTAGTCTCACACTCTCTTTGTGTCGTCCACTCATACGGTTCGAGGATTTACGATGTCCATCCCTGCGGGTCCAATTGGCGTTGCGCCATCGGGACCTGTTGTGGTCCATGCAGCATTCTAAGTCCCCGCCCGTGTTTCATGATTTTTTTCTCAGGGATGGGGTTCACATGTGGTTGCCCATCTGTGCTTCACTCCTCCTCTCTCTCTCGCCCTCTCCCCCTCCCTATCCCTCTCTGACGCTATGTGCACGACTCTGTTTGTCTCAAGTCGTCGCGTCTGTCCTCATCTGTCTCTTTCTGTCCTGCGTTCTGCTGTGTTCTGTGCTTTGCATGCTGGGTTCTGTTCTGCTGGTGTCCTTCGCCTGCCTGCCTGCCTGCCCGCGACCGCACGCATGGACCTGGACTTCGTCCCCCCTCCTCCTACGCAACTCGACCAAGCTATTAAGAAATGCCCAAGGGGGGGAAGGGTCGCAGAGCCCCGCTGGAAAGTGGACGATTGAAACTAGATTCCAGGTTCGTCGTCGTCGTCGTCGACGTCGAGGCCCCCAGACCGCAGCCAGCCATCTCCCCCTTTCTCTCTCCTCCCCCACCCTCTTCCTCATCCATCTTCCTTTCTCCTCCTCCTGGGTCAGTCGACTGCCTTCCCGGGCCAACCGAACTAAACTCATTCCAAGAGGGGCGAGGAGCAGGAGGAGGAGACGAGGAAATCGGTTCCCAGACCCCTGCCAAGGTCCGTATGGCAAGTTTTCCGAAGCGCGTGCAGCCGTGGTGACGTCCAAGAATCTCCGAAGCGAAGGCGACATTCACGGCGTCGACGTCGACGGAGGGGGGGAGGAGGAGGGAGAATGAGGAGGAGGAGGAGGAGGAGGAGGAGGAGGAGGAGGAGACGGAGGAGGAGGAGGAGGAGGAGGAGGAGGAGGAGGAGGAGGAGGAGGAGGAGGGAGAATGAGGAGGAGGAGGAGGAGGAGGATTTTTTTGCATGGGACCATGCTGCAGCCCACATACACCACTCAGGGTGGGCGAAGCCCTGAGGGAAATCAGCAAACGAGCCGTGACCAACCGCACTGAACGGTCGGCACGGCATTCATCTGCGAAAGAGAGGTGGGTGTGCTTGGGCGCTCCGCGAGACCAGACAACAGAGACCCACCTCTGAGTGGCCCCTCACAGGCACACAGGGACCAAGGGGACCCTGCTACACCTGGACAAGGGCCGATCTGAGGCACGGCAGAGCACAGTGCCACAGTCCTCCTCACGAGGAGCAAGAAAAAGGGGCCCTCGACACAGGAGGAAGCACGACAAAAAACCCACCAGAGTTAGGCGGGGAGCAATGCCACAAGCAGGATCCTGCAAGTGGACGTGCCGCCGCAAAGCCCGCAGGCCCTCGACTGAACAAGAGGACAAGCGGAATTCAGCCAAGCGCTGGGCTGAGAGTGTGTTGGGGCTAGGAGTCTGAGCTCCTGACCACAGCAACACCTCCAACAAAAGACAATGGGGCGATAGCCCTCAAACTCCAGAGCGGTAGGCACCACCACACGAAACGCACGCGTGCACGCGCACGAACAAGACGGAGGGCCAGGCGTTGGGGCCAGGGACAAAACACCTGGCCACAGCAAACGCCATTGGAGCGACAGTCGGGATAGATTTACCCCCGTGCTCCACTGAAAGAACACCTTCAGCTATGCGCGCATCTTCCCCCTGAAGCGGGGTGCCTGGCACACGTGCGGACACGTACGAACCTAAGCGCACACGAAAGGCCATCAAAAGGACGACGAGGCCTGCCCCAGGTGCTGATGCGCCTGGACGGCAAAACCTCGCCCCAGTTGTAGAGCCAAAACATCACGAGAAAAAAAACGGAGAGACACACAACATTAAACCACGACTACCCACACAAGGACGACGAGGCTTCCAGCCCCTGGTGCAACGAGCGCCAGGACGACTGGAGACCTCGCCCCAGATGTGGGGTAGAGCACGGATGCCTGCCAAAAGGGCCAGACGCATCGGGCCGTGTTGGGAAGAAAGACGGACACGCAAGCAAAAACTTAAAGATGGCAAAACGTGCTTAAATCGACCGAGACCCCACACTTTTTCGGATGGGGCCCCTTCTTCAACTTAGTCCACGGATTGCTGTGTGTGGCCACTTTGTCTGGCTCACACTTCTTGTCAAGGTTCCTCAATTGGCCCCTCTGCGTCATATACCCGCACTTGTGACAAATGCAAATAAAGGACCCGTCAGGGCAACCGAGCAGCACGCACACGTGTCCGAGCGCACGGAGCCTGGCAGGTGAAAGCTTCAGGACAGCGTCACACTTCCCAGCAGGTGGCTGGGTCGAAGGCATGCCGCGCTTGCCTCGCAGACGCGCAGCATACTGCCAGTAGGTACCCGCCCAGCTCCACTGATGGGCACACATTTTCTCCCCCTGCTGACGCTCCGCAGGGGGAGGAGGAACACGTTGAACATTGGGGCCCAACCGTAAGCGGGGCCAGAGAGGTAGCAATTTGGCCCCTAGTCGGCCGACGGCTCTGGCAATAGCAACATCCTGATCAAGGCCCTCGAGCTCGGCGGCCGACGGCATAGGATGCAAGAGCGCCGCCTCCTTGGCCGTCTTATCAGCCCAATCGTTGCTTTGCCGCAAATACCGATCCCGATCATCGGTGGCATCGCGGACGTCTAAATGGGCCTTGACCTTTTCCAGCTGCACCTGAGACAAGTGATCCTTCAAATGCTGAGCCATGCCACTATACATGCGCTTGCCCGAGCACATCTCAGGCCACGGCAGCTGTGCAAAATCCACACAGCCCTGGCAATCAGAAAAAATCGTGGATGGGCCCGTCGCCCACTGCACAGCAACTGACATGGCGTGATACTCTGCAGCCTGCGGCGTCTGTGGGCACGGCGCCCACGCTGGACCTTTCACTCGCACAATAGCATTCCCCGTTTCTTTGGACACCACCACGATCGACCAACCAGCACGGTTCAAATCACCAACTTTGTAACGGGTACCAGAGCCGTCCACAAACATGTCCCCCTCGAAACACCTGACAATGTCGCCCTCCTCCTCCACCCAGTCCACCTTGATGCCCCCCTCCACGAGGCGCTGCGG